CTGATTCTAAAGCCTCAAGCTGTTCAGCAAGGGGAACGAGTGCACAAGAAGGCACTGCTTCCAGAATACCAACTCATGTTTGAGATGGTGAACAAGGTCCTGCTACCTCGAGCTGAAAGACGATCCATTGCATTGATAGAGGAGCTGGTTCTTTTGGAGGCATTGGACGGATACACTGCTATCAATCTTCTCAGAATTTTGATTGAACGCATGAAGAAGGTGGCAGACTTCAAGGATGGGAACCATGGGTTTCCATATGGGTTAGTACTCACCAAAATTTTTTGAACATTTTAAAGACCCTTTGGGGAGAGCAGTTGTGGGAACTCGTAAGCAAATATTCTCAATGAACACCTTGGAGGAATGTGAGTGTATTGATAAAAATAGGGGAGTTGGCGGCAGTTCTACAATCTCTTGGTTGATCAATGCTCAGAGTGCTGCTAATGAGGAGATAAGGAGCCTGAAGGCCCAGAATACCATTCTTGAGGGAAAGCTCGGTCAAGCTAGCGCGGAACCTGGTTCTAGCAGTGCTCAAGGTGCAGAAGTTGCCTGCTTGACGGCTAAGAATGCAGAACTAAGAAAATAGGTGGAGAACCTGAAAGAGCAGTTGATCAATGAGTAGATGGCTGCTAATGCTCGTGTGGATGGTATCCTCAAGGCTCTTGCTCCTTCGTCCTTCCTTTCCTATTCAGTGCCTCCTAAATTGTCCCCTTGTTAGTGTCCAGTTTGTCAGTCCCTACCCGATTCTACAGTGTCCGGTTTTTATATCTTTTCCCTATGATTGTGATACTTTAGTAATGTTTATTTTTTGGATGTTTTGTAATGATGGCACTAGTACTTTTTTTCCTTTCTCCTTAAATTTAATGAGCATCTTAGTCCTTTTTAAAGGCATGTTATACTCTTGTGTTCTGTTTAGCTATGATGACTGCACATAAGTGGCATGAGTTAACTTTGCTCAACCTTCTTTTTACGTTTACTTGTAAAGTTCTTTTTATGATACCAAAAGGGGAAGAAAATTGAAGGGAAGAAACATGTTCTCACGGGGAATATGGCTATTCTGCGCGGGGGGGAGGGGGGGGGATATGGAGATCTGGTTCTCAGGAGGAATATCAATTCTAAGTTTGTCATCATCAAAAAGGAGAAATTGATAAGTTATGTGCCTTTTTATTTTGATGATTTAACAAACTTCATATGAGAACCAGATAAGGAACCTGATACAAAGCCTCTGCGTGCTCAGAATAACTAGTCAAATATCTGGCACAAGTTCCAATGAAATCAGTTAAGGGAACGGCAGAGGGAATAAATAGATATCAATTCCTTCGGCCACATAACAAGTCAACTCTTTACAGCTGTTAAAGTTGCTGCATTGCATATGCAACAGTGCAGCAGTCACTGTTGAAGCATGATGTGTACCGGACACTTGCTTGCATCATCCTTGGTGACCTCACTTGTATATTACCAGCATGAGGTAAGGGATTACATACACATGCAAACCCTAAAACACATTTCACTCTCAAGTGCACAGCCGCCTTCATTGACTCCAAGGCACTGAAGAACAAAGCCGCAACATAACAAAGGACCAGATCCCAACATTGATTACATCGTGTGTCCTCAGTATTGTTGTGTCTTTGTTTATGTTATTCACTTGTAATTCCTACTCAGCTTATTTAAAAGCATCTCGTAGGATACCTTTGTAAACCATAAACCTTGTGTTTGTGTTTGACTAAAGTGGTTATCTTTGTAATAGAGTTAATACAAAGAGGCTTGCAATATAATTATTGTAAGTAGGTGAGGGATTAAGAGTTTAATTCCTAGGTTACAATAGATTGTAATCTAAAGTTGCTCGGTTAGTGAAGTTGAAATCCTACGAGTGTAGGTCGTGATTTTTAATCCCGTGAACTGGGAGTTTTTCACGTAAATATTATTGTGTTATTTATTTACTGTTGTGTGTTTTGTGGGAATTGATAGAGAACCAGGTTCTCTATACATTTTGGTGGACTCTTAGTTTATATCAACCAATATATCAAAGCATCTTAAATAATAGAGGGCCCAAAAATCTTACCACGTCAGTCAAAATTGAGCTACCACTATGTGTTGCAAGGAACTCTTTATGTGTACCTATCTCTATGTTGTTAGGTGTTTGTCTTGATTTTCTTACCATATTTGATTTTTCTATTTCTTGAAGGAGAAGACAACATATTTACCATAATTGAGTTTTCTTTTTCTTAGAAGAAAATTATAAATCTCCCATAGTTGGCTAGTCCATTTTCTTGGAGGAAAAGGTTGTTTGGACTTTTATAAATTGAGGACCCTTCCTTTTCATTCAGTAGTATCCACAATGTAGCCATATGGGGTTTGAGAGTCTTGTTTAGGAGGAGAATTTTTGGACAAGTATTAGTGCGTCACTTGTGTTTGCCTATTTGTGAGGTTGTTCTCTGAATATATCTCTGTATGTGGATGTAGGTCAATTGACCAAACCACGTTAAATGTTTGTGTCTCTTTTGGTATATTTATCTTTTGTTGTCTGATTTATCATTGTTCAAGATTTGCTTTACTATCTTCCGCATGATACCTGCTTTTTTGGATCTTAAAATATGTGGCTATGTATACAAAATGAAAGTATTAAAGGGACGAGTTTTTATATAAGATATGGGTTTGATCATCTTTTGGGTTGTTGGATTCAACTATTCAAATACAACAAATTAACTTGGAAATCAAGTCTCATTCAATTGACTAGTAATTCAACTAAATAAAAGAATCAAATATTTATGTTCATGACAGCGGTTTCACCTTGGAGCCGGCTAAAGTTTCCAGTCGACCTCTTACTTTATTTCTCAATGTCAACAAATATTTGAATTTAATTTAGTGAGATATTCGATAAATAAAAAATTAAAAATAAAAAAAAAAAGAGTAATCCACATCCTATGTGGAATTCAATATCCCACACGTTTGTGGACAATATAAGGTTGGACACAATATTGGTTAACAATGAATTGAGATGAACCTATTTCTTTTATCATAATAAGAGAATGAATACTAATTCAATCACAATAACTATCTCTGATTTTACAACTGTGCTGAATCTAATAAGCAGGAAAGAGGACAAAATCGTCTGTTGTGTTCTATCCTAAAATTAATTAAGACATGACTTTCAGTGTTAAACGAAACTCCATGTTATTATTTTTGTAAAATTAAGATTGGAATTTGCATTCCCTTCTCCAAATATTGCTGTCATTTCTAGAACAAAAACTGTCATATTCAGACTGCTACGTCTCACATCTTGGTAGTTATTAGTACCATCTATTGGCTATATGTTACAAGCCCGTATTATAATCTTTTGAAAGAAGGGAAAAAAAAGGCAAAATCCTCCCAAGAGGACAAAGGTAATGATTTTTTTATGACTGTCCCCTTTCAAAATATTATTTCTTCCTTCCCAATTTATATAACAAATCTTTATATTTTAACAGGTATCATGATGTTTGACACCATTCCACCAATAACATTAGTTTATATAACTTCACAATTATAATTTACTGGATTATAAAATTTTAAATTTGTCACTATAATTTTTAAATAATTAATTTTATTACTTCATCCCACCACAACTAAATACTAATAAAATGTGTAAATTAAATCAGCATTTTAGAATTTGGATTTCGTATACAATCAGATATCAATTTAACAGAACGGAAAGGGGGTAGTATTAGAGACGCAACTTTCGCGTAACGTGAAATCAATGAGTAGATAAAGTTTCCCAAAAGTTGACAATTGTATATGAAAAGAAACAAGATTCACAATTATAGAGAAAATGTCAATGGTTTTTCAGCTTAATACATGCAGTTGTTACATTCTCGATCACAAATTTTGTCAATGGTTGCTTCTCTCTTATTAATTTTTTAGAACACTTCTGTAATAGAGGTAACCAAAATTTATTGGCCAAATTCATTAAAATACTTGCCCAACTGGCAGGCTGCCTTACGATTTTACACTTGAACGTTCTACGTTCACTATGCATTTCAACATCTGGTTAAAGTTGAAACAAAAGAGTGTTTAAAGTTAAAATTTAAGAGTATTAGAATGTTGAAACTGTATTAAAACATAAATCTCACTTTACAAAATTGAAGATTTGTATGTGAAGTTCATTACTTTACTCCTCAAACAAGTTTTTCAATATTTCCACAAACTGACTTAGCTCCCCTTCAATTATTATATGAACAAGATTTTTCTTCGCTATCTTCTGTTTGTACAGTAGTTTGGTATGTTGTATAAGATAATTAATCATGGTATTTTAAATAAAGTTAATACATTGTTTGGTTATGATTTCAAATCTAGGATAATTAATCCATGTAAGTATTATTTTATATACCAATTGGTGTATTATCTTATCCCACCACCACCAAGAAATAACAAATCCATGTTTAACCTATACATGGATAAAGTACCAAAGGAAAAAAAAAACTACCCTTTAGTCTTTTTTCTAGAAGCCTATGAAGACCAAATATCCAAGGGTATGTATAATTGCAAATTTATTGTTTTTTTAGTTTAAAAAATAAACAAATAATTTAGATGATACTTTATATACTCAATTTTAATGCAATGAACCAAACACCCAAAAAGAAATAATTCATGTACTATTAATCCCCGTATTATTAATCTCTATATTACTAATCTCTGTATACTAATCTATGTATAACTTGTCTTCAAACCAAACGACCCCTTGTTTTCTAGATGGGCCGGGACAGATTTAGGAATACAATTACTGGCAAGCTTAATTTCTAGACTTACAGAAAGTCTCTTAACACGTGAGGGAATGCTCCCTTTCCTTACCTCCCTGTAGAGATATTGGCTTTTCAACTACTAGTATATAAATTTGCGACTTTGACCGTGTATCCCCGGTCAAAAGGGAACTTCACCCTCCTAGTTCTTTATTCCCCAAATACATGGAGAGTAATCCTAAATTTACATAGAAGAATAAGAAAATGAACTGCAACTAATGCTGTACTGTTCCGAAGAGAAATTAGGACGTCAACATATTTATTCCTTCAGCTCTTGTCAGAATAATACCATAGTAGGTAGAAGAAATGGCACATACAATCAAGTCCTGGGCAAGTAAAATGTAAATCTGAACCCACCCAGCTAACCCAGTGAACTCAACTTTCCTAAATAGATCAGCACTCCTTCATGGCATGCATGCCTTCTCTTTAAAGAGCCGCTTCATCTCTGAAAAACAAATGAATCTCCATAGAGAGATTTCGAGCTCCATGGGACACCTTGTTATTCTTGATTTACTAAACCTATAGAAATGAAAGGAAGTAGGGCATCTGCATTTTGCCGCTTAAGATGCTTCAGCGCTTTGTGAATTTTAAGTCATGAGAAAGTACAGTGATTTGGTTTGAATCTTACACCAGAACAATGTATTTGTAATAACCTAGGAAAGCAAAGCTAGAAGGGAGGTGCAGCTAAATCTTCTTCTACCTTGTTATCCTTGCATTTCTTGAGGAGGAGGAACTGTCCTCGCAGGTGCAAAATCTGCAGTCGCCCAAAAGGATATTCAGAAGTATATTACACCATGTTTAATGGTTAACCAAGTGAAAGATTTAAGTAGTCATTAGAACAAAATGCATTCTCAGAGCGTATCTACTAGTTCATCAACCCAGCACACATCTCAGAATTTCATAACTCATACCGTTGAACTAAGTTAATTGGTCAAAGATGCATAGCATGAGAGACAAACTCATTAAACGGCTGAATAACATGCAGAAGACAGAGTTATGCGCCTTAGGTCTCATTATGCATAAGATTTATCAGTTATATGCTCCTTCAGATAGACTAGAAATGAAAAATCAGTTAAGCCTGTTATGATATGATAACCTGCTTCAAGAGGATTAGACTATTTTTCATAAAATATGCAGTGCAGTGAAATAGATAATCTTAGGCAGGAAAAATCTTCTATTGGGCCATAATAAGAACTACCAATTAGAAAAGAGGTAGAAAGCTCTGATATAGTTATGAAGGCCATTCTAAGTGCTCATGTGAATTTCCCAATACAAAATGACAACAACAAAACAAAAGCCTCAATCCTAAGCTAGTTGGGGTCGCTATATAAATCCTGGACATCCATTTAACTCTATTTGGACTCCTTTCTTTCCAATATTTCAATATTGTTAGATTAATCATAAAATTGCCTAGCTTTCTGCTGGCCCTTAACCTACTGCAATCCTCCAGTTCTGGGCTTCCCAACACAAACAACAAAGAGGAATTTTAAAACAAGAAAGCAAATGTGATAAGAGACAAATGTACAAAGATACCTCTTCTTGCAGCAAAGGAGGCAGGTTCTCTGCTGAGACAAGGTTCTCTATTTCCTGCAAGACCTTCGTATCTTTTATTCGAGACCATGTATGTGGAGGTAATGCCAGCAATAGTGCTGTCAGCACATCGTTACTTGCAGGGTGCATTGGCGAGCAACCAGCTTGCCCTGAGGGACAGCAGCTAGTCTTTGCTAGAGATGTAGGGACCAGAACATCAACCCCCTGCTCCCCATTCCCATTTACAACTGTCCCAGACACCACTGTAGCAGAATTGCCCCCGGTAGCTCTGTAGCATCTAACACATGTTTGGAGACAGCAAAACCTATCCGATGAACCAGATCTTCCTGCAAAAAGACCTGCTCCTTGGCAGCAAATGTTTGCGGCAACATTAGCCAAACTGCTGTCTGATGCTGCTTTTGACTGGCAGATAGAATTTTTTGAAAATAAAATGCTTGTGACATGCTTATAAAGAGGAGTGTCCTGCACTTGTTTCAATACCTCTTCCTGCAAAGTAAGGTAAGAGTGGTTACTGAACTCATAAATAATCACCTATCCTGCAAGTTACCCGATCAAATCTACATGACCATTTCTAGGAGCCTTCTTTTTTTTCTTTCTATTTACTAAATTTCTTCAGATACCTTACCTTGATAGCTAGCCTTCCTTTCTCCTCGTCACTCAAATTTTGACCATTCTCCTCTTGCCTTCGAACTTCCGCTATCCACTTTATGAATTCAACAAAATTTGAAGGTAGATTTGAAAGAACAGTAGAGAGAACATCTTTTATGCCCTTCACATTCTCAGAACTTAACAGGACAGGAAGATCATCCATCAAATGCTTTGAGATAGTGACCCAACTCTCATGTTTACAGCTCTGTAGAAGTTCACCATTCAAAATACATGACTAGTCGCAGAAAGAAGAAAATCCAGGAGTAATTCAATACAGTACATTCCTCCCTCTTTATTATAGAAAATTTACATAAAAAATTACACGTTAAATAGTTCTAAAGGCCAATGTTGTTAAACTCCATAAATATTGCAATGACATCATAGTTTTGAAACAAAAGTCCAAGCTAATCACCTGGCACTAAGACCACAATTCCCAAGCATTTGACAAAGATGTTATCATTATGTTATAGCATGTAAAAGGTAGGTAAAGTAGTAGTTAACAACTATCCGACCAAGCTGGTGTACTGAAAAGAATCAACTAGCAAAGGATCTCACAAGCAGTAATAGAAGTTGCTTCTTATAGTTTGTTCGAACTTCGAAGGAGTTTATATTTAAAGCGAATAACATAATAGCAGCTACTTAAACCTTACCAGGGTATATAGCAGTGCAGGAGCTCTGTGAAGCTTAGTAATTAGCATAAACCTGAAAATTATGTTTTTGCACATAAGTCACTGAAATCCATGCTGCAGAATGATAAAAATATATCAAGTGTGAGATGGATATAGACGGACCGCTAAATTTGAGCAGAAGGAGAATAGGAAGAGAAAATAATGAAGAGAATCTACAGTTATGTTTGAAGAAGACCAGAAGCAGTGCCGAAAGAGTTCAGCATTTAATTTCCAATTTTAGTCTTAATTATAAGAGGAAGACCAAAACACATAGTAAAACTACTTCTTCTACATATTTATATTCCTTAAGCTAAATGCTTAGCCAGTATCAGTTGACAGCTAAAAAGCATGAACGAGACGCTGTTCAAGGTAAAGAGCATGCTAACAGGCAACAACTCATAGCCATTATGAAAATCAATATCAATATCACAGCACAGCTAACTGGAAGTGCATACCCCCTATGTAATCCTGTAGCTTCATCAATTGTGTTCATGGCTTCCCAAAGGAGAGGGAGGGGAACCCAATGAGGAGGATATTTAAACCTCGCAACATCTAGAATCAGTGCCATATCCTTTCCCACGTGATAACCACCAATAGGCGAAAAGTGGCCCGAACCTGTCTGCCATAAGATTCAGTAGATCCTGTGTGGTCAAACTCCCGATGCAGCAATATACTTCTTCACAATCATAAGCATGGGGATAGAGAAGCTATGTTTACATTTACCTGCTTAAAAAGGCCTCTATGATATGATGAGATCAGATGACAATTATCACTAGTAGTGCAGGCCATGACTTGTTTACGGAAGTCATCAATAGTACTATGATTAGAGCGAAAAGCTTCTACCTTCGCTCCTGCACAGTGAGCCAAACATACCACTTTCCCAAAAGAGATCCCTTTAGCTTTAACCTTCTCCAGAGGCTCACAACAGTCCAACATAGATTCATCAAACCATCTCCAAGGCCCTGACAGTTTGTTGAAGCTGATAAGATAATAAACTCCAAGCTCATTGACGCAAGCAGACTATAAAAAGGATATGAACAACCAAGTTCGAAAGAGAAACGTACAAGCATCAAACAGTTTCAGGTGATGAAAGCTAAGAACGTTAAAGCTGTCCTCACCAAGCTCCTTCTTTTCCAAACTGACTCTTTAATATCAGTAGACATTGGTGACCAAGATATGACCCTAACATATAAGTTAATTGGTGGAAAGAAAAGGTTTTCAAGTTTTTAAGATGTGAACATTGAAACAAAATATTATCTAAGATGTTTCTAGTTCATGTAAATTGGAAACAGAAACTGACAATAAGAATGATTTCATGTGACCATGAAGTTTGGAAAAATGGACATCAACAAATAATATGCATGAGGCAACTCAGAGCAACAGCTCCTAGATGCATGAACCCTTTTCTGTTAAATGCAAATGGAACGAAATACAGACACAGATATTAACTCTAAAGGAGTTCTCAGAATTATATTACCGAGGTCTAATCTGTTAAAGCCTTAAGTTTGCAAAACTGCACTAGAACGGCAACTTTGATGAACAATTATCCAGAGAATAAACACCTTCAATAAATGAGGTAAGAAAAAATATTAAGTTGCACATATAGCAGTTTAGATCTTTGGAAGGTGTCCAGCAACAGTGGCTAGGATTCATGTTGAGAACAGATGATATCAGACTCATGCCAATGCATCACAACATATCAGATTAACTTACAAAGCTCACAGACAAGGCATCAACTTATTTTTTTTAATAGAGATCTCAACAATAAAAAACAAAGTGAACTACACATCTCTGTGCTATATCTTATAACTAACATGGGCAGGTCGGGATAGGCGAAATTATTGGAAAATAAAGATGTAAAGACCTTCATCAAGGAAATAAACATATAAAGAGCCTGAGACCTTATTAACAATTCAGAAGGCAAGGCCATGAAAAAGTGAAGATCAAAATCATCGATATAGTCCGGAAGGATAGGAACACAGATTCACTTGATGATAGCAGAGTTACCTTTCCATTTTCTTCCTGGATCAATAGCAAGGGCATTCAAGACCATAGAAAGGCTAGCCAAACCACAATAGGCCGGTTCAGACTGTGTCTGAAAATAAGAGATCAACTTGAAAAATCCTTCCATTGTTCCATTCTGGATGGCCTCCAAAAAAAGTTGCTGCAGCTCCAAAAAACACGCAAAAATCAGTACAAAAAGAACAGTCACTGAACAAAGTATCAGATATTGTATCTCTTTCTCATCCCTCCACCCCGTTTCATGCATTTCCTTTTTTCTCTGAGGTATGGCTAATTAAAACGCAGTCTATGCTGATGAAAACAAATTCATGTTTACAGAAGAAATTTATTTTTGATATAACATTCAGTTCATATAACAAAAGACTTAGTTTGATATCTAATAGTATCATTTCAAGATAAATGTAGGAATGGCTTGTATTTGATCAGGCGGGCATTTGAGGTATCTCTGTAAGACAGACCTTCAAATTCCAGGTTTATGCAAGGGTCACTTAACCTTTTCCGAAAAAGTTAAGGATCTCCCTAAATAACATTGTTTCCTATGAAATTCAAAACACTGCACAAATACACGGTCACTGGCACACCTATCTTCTTATAGTTTCTCAGTCTAAGAGAAGCTACAATGTTCTCCATACGATACCACAGTAGCCTAGTGAAATATTGTGGGAAAAAAAGGAAAGGGACAGCTACCCCTTTTTCAGCTAGGAAGCCTATCATAAACCAATATGATCAAACTCAGGCAATCAGTGAGAAAGCAAACCGAAACAGATCCTTAAGATAATGGTTGCAGTAATAACTGAGAGCTTTCCCCATTAAAAGATTCAACTTCCATAATGACATAACTTAAAGGGTGGGAGGAGCCAAGGATCCAGACAAGTGATCTGAAGGGAGGGCATAGATAAAAATCTGCAGAGGAAACCAGCAGTCGTCCAAGGAGTATTATTATGTTGAGTATTCATTGGAGGTATAAGGCTACAATGTGATAGACTAATAAATAGTTGCTCAACATTTGAATTGGGTATGGCTAGTCTGAGCAGAAAATTTAACTGAAGGCAGATGGAATTGAGCTAAGCAGCATATGGTTGTTTGGGCTGGTAAGGAGTCAAAGGGATGTGCCTCAATGAGGCTGTGGCTGCAAATGAGGAATGCAGCTCTTCTCGCTTTGACCTATAGGGGAAAAGGTAACTCATTAATCTCGTATTAATATCATTTTACATATGGCAGGCAAAAGTCATCCTTCAATCAAGTGCAGAAGTTGAAGGGGAAAATGTCACTGTAGCAATTCGGCACAAAAAGCTTATTAAGTTCTTGGAAATAAAGAGTATTGGCGCAATTGTAATAGACTTAATGGCCTGAGTATTCCATCCCTGTAGATATGTAGAAGAGTAAAAAGAATATGAATGATGTCAAGCATATGTTTACTTGGATACTTTAATATAACTCCTTTTCTCTATTCCTCTCTGAAGGTCAACTTCAATGGAAAGTCAAAATCTTATGTGACAACTTTTTTTAATAAAAAGATACGCATAAAAAATTATGTATGGAAAGAGCCAGAGAAAACTGCATTCAATCTCTTCATATTAATGACAAAAAGGATTTTAATTTCATGAAACAGCATCAAACTGGAGAAAAAAGATATTCAAGCAAATCTGTATTAGGCTGTACAATGACATCAACTTCAGATGTACACCTTAACAGTCGAACCGAACAATAAGATGAATTGATACCTAAACCAAGGGCAAGCAAGTACAATAAACTAGAATATTATCACACATTTTAGTATCTGGAAGTTAAGGGCATACCGCAAGAAATGGGATGTTAAGACTTAAAAAGTGTAGATGTAAAAGTAAGTACAGACAAAGACACCGACAGTTAATTGCCAAAAAAAAAATATCGTACATCATAAATAAATATATCAACAAAACATTGAAGCAGGAAGGAGTAGAATTTATGAAAGTCAGATGCCCTCCAATGTGGAAAGCACAAAAATAGCTACAAAACCTTAAGAACAGCAAAATTTACAAGTCCGCGTCAAAAAGAAACAGATTCCTGATTTCCTTTTATCACATTTTCTTTTAAGACTGCCATGGCCAAAGTTCTCCATGTGGAACATCAAGGACAAATTTGAATAAAAGGTACTATATGTTATGGGGTCTGGACAGTTAGCAGTGAATTGGTGTCTAAATCAACTTACAATAAACAATTATCTAACGTGTATCATATAGGCCAATCCCTAAGGCTGACCAGCTGATCAAGTTGTTGATCACTGTGGTCACCTGGATCTTGCTGACTCTATTAAATCAATTGCCTTCAGCTGAATTACAGACACAGTTTAATTATTTTAATAATATATATACTTATACTAAGTTAGCAACCATTGTGGCCAAATAGTAACGACACAATTACAGATTCAAAATTCTGAATAAAGTCCAAACCAATTAACAAATCGGTACCAGCTAGTAAACAGATAGCTAAAAGATTATGATATAATCCATATTCATCCGTGACAAAATAGAACAACAACCAAAGACGGCTAAAACCCTAGTCTTTAACCCTCAGCACAAACGAAAAAGGAAAGAGTAGCACTAAAACTTGCCTTTCCTTCAGTAGAAGCGAAATCAACAGCCGGAGGCGACGGAAGAACTCGCCGATATAAACCCGCCATCGCCATTTTTTCTCGCTTCAGAATCTCCCCCAATAAATACTAGTAGTAGGAGTATCTCTTGTGTGCCTCACCTCACTTAGGGATTTTAATTCCGCCGGTTTATTAGATTCCCCGCGTTAATTTAAAAGGCGCAAACGCGATTCACGAATCAACAGCTTTCGTGTAGTCAAAGATTTGTACCAATATTGTGAAAAACAATAAACAAATTAAATAGAAAAGGTTTGTGTACAATGGAAATATATGGCAAGTAGCACTAATAGACAAAGTATAAGGAATAAAGAAGAACCACTACAATGTGGAAAAAGAGAAAAAGAGAAATATTCTATTTTTTTATCTAGATCATGAAGAGATTCGGATTTCCTTTTACTTTGTCCTAAGAAAGATCTATTGCAATAAAAACGTTTATCGCATTAAATTAAATATAGAGTAAAGCATTTACGATCTGATTTTAGTTGTGAATACACCTTATGTGTTCTAAAAAATTAATATAAGGATTGATTATGTAATTATTCCAAGAAAATTGATTAAAACTCTATTATAGAGTCACTGGAAAATCGTCCAACATGTAAACAAATCTCATATTTTCAAATAAAGTTTCTATAATTTACAATGTTTGGTGAGTCATTCACTTATGACCAAAACAAAAAAGGGACAACCACAAATTCATAAATAAAATGAAGCGAGGAATATGTTAGTCCCGCCAATATTGTTGTATTTGTAAATAATAATTCTGCAAAATATAAGTTATCGTAATGAAACAGTAATTAATTCGAGCCCACTGAATTCACAGTGTTTTCTTAAGGAATTTAATCCCCTCCTAGTACCCAAGGTAATGGATTATTTCCTCCCAGGATAGAACGAATCACACACTGGTGTAGCGGTCCTTCAAAGCCCAGTGTTTCAGCGAACACAAAGTTCGGTAGCAAATCACACTTACAGTTGCTTTGTTTGAAGTTAAAACAATGCAGAACGAAGGAGTAGAAATTCAAAAAATCGTATGGAAATACTGAGAGGAAGGAGTGCAATGTATAGCCAAATCAGTTGAGCGATTTCAGTCTTGTGTCTTGTGTATTGTGTGTGTCTTTCTTCAACAGCTGCTGCACATATATATAGCAGCCAGTGTTGAAGAAGAACAATCGTCCACCCTCCATGGTGGAGCAAGCAT